TTTGGTTTCTGTTGTTCTTTTAATGAGTCTACGTTTCATGTGTTCTTAATAAAACTTTAGTTTGAGGTTTAAAAGAATAATTCATCCAGTTTTAATATGGGTTTAACCTGGGATGGGTACGGTGAGACTTTTCTATACATGCAGTCAGTTTGGTCGTATTTTGACTAAGAGTGTCGGGTAGAGCAACGTTTTTACCTGCTGTCCAAACTATACTTTTAAAATTGAAAATTTCAACAAAATTAGTTAAAATGTAATTACTCTATGGTTAGTATTCGATTTCTGTGTAACGAGAAAGATAATGGGTTCATGATAGATAATAAAATTTGTTGGATGTTTTAAAGAATTCTTATAATGTATTTATAAAAGCTGTACATTCTCTTATAAATGTAGAGAGTCTTAGTTTGGCTTGTGTGAAAAGTCTTGAACTTGCTGAAATTAGAATTATTTCGTTGGTGCCTTGATGTGATTGTAAAAGTGCTACGCCACTTCCAAAATTAGAGGCGTCGCTGAGTTGGATAAGGGATAGTATTTGATTTTTGTTTAGTTAGGTTTGTTTTGATTCCATCGGGAGCTGTTTTCATGTTTTCCTTTAGTAAATTTTGATGATATATATCTAAAATTTTAAACATATCTTGTTTCGTTTGTGATTGAATGAAAACATAGTCCCAATATTAGATAACTTTTTTTTATTTAATAAAAATAGTTTGAACCTTTTACTCATATATGCCGCAAAAGCTGCTGGTCTCATGGTGATGCCAAAAAAAGTCAATTAAATTCGAACTGCTGATTTGCAATAACAAGCGGCGTGATTGTTCAATTAGTGCCGTTTGATTTCGTGCGCTGTTCATGTCTGCTTTTGTAGAATTTTGTCCATTTGTTTTTGTGAGTCATGATTGTATTGGTTCTATGCGCCAATCGCATTTGGATTCGTCAATTAGGGAGTTTAGATATTGTGCATTCAATACTAATTTAAGGAATTTGCCTTTTTCGAGATTGATAGCTGGGTTGATAAAGATAATTTACATTAGGTTGTTGTTCTTTTTTTACTGGTGAAAAATATTTTCTTTTGCTCAAGGATGTCTAAAAGTCTGTTTACTTTATCTTGTAAGAGTACTGGAACTTTACTTGCGCGTTGTTTCTTGAAAACTGCGTGGGGCTTATGTGAAAAATAATCCCTCTTAAAAATTGTTTTTGTTCTACTTTGTATTTCGAAATTTTAAATGTAGGATTGAAATAAGGTTTTTTTAAAGTAATCTGAGTTTTGTTTCGATTCTTTTCCGGTGTTGTTAATAGATAATTATTCGTTTAGAAATGTAGATTGCCAAATATCTGAGAACTTTAGATTATTGGTTACTCTATATGGTTTTTTCTTAGGGGGTTACAATGTTTCGTTTGCTGCACAAAATCTAATAGTCCTAAAGGAAGTGTGATTTTGTTTAGAGACTTGTCGTATTTATGAAATGCAATTATGTCTGTGTTTGTGTTTTTTGCTTATTTTATGGATGATATCGTTACCCTAAAGAAGTTGTGAATTGGTCTGAATTCAAGATTGGAAATGTAAAACTGTTGTGTTTCTGATCATTGTTATGATGAAGTATCTTTTGGTTTTAATTGTTTTTGTTATTGGATGTAGATGAGGTAAAATTGTGAAAATTACGAGGGTTGTTTATTAGGTCTTTGGAAAAATGTTAAAATTGTTTTATTTGTTCTCAACCATTTATCTTTGATTGTAATTTGTTTTTTTTGGGATATTAATTGTTGATATAAATTTTGAAATCAAGGCTAAACTGACTATTTTGTGTTTAATATATGTTATACGAAATATTTTTTTATTTTGTTTGATAGTTCGTGTTGCTATAAGAAATAATAGATTTTTACCATAGATTGTTTAGCCTGTGCCTCCTGCTGTGGCTAGCTTACTTCAAGTTTTGGAAACTGGAAGTTTGGGATGTAGTGAACGGATTTCATTCCATGTATCAGTATTAAAAGTAGTTGATTCTGCTCCTAAATCGGTTAGGAAAACTAATTCAAGATATGGTGTTTTAAAATTTTTGCTTTTTGGGCTTTTTAAAACAAGTAAAACTTTCAAAATTTTTTCAATAGGATGGGATGGTTTTGATGTTTTATTTTGATATTTTTTATTCATATTTGTTTGATTTTCAACCATAAGAGGGATGTGATCTATTTTAGATTTTCGATCAATGTTTGATTCGTTAAGGTTTGACTTAATGTTTTCAGTCTGAAAAAGTTTGAAACAGTTTGAATTTAATTTGATGTTCTAATTATACCTTAACAAAAACTAAAAAGCCTTCGGTTTCAGTTTCATCATGAGTGGTTTCACAGTGTATATGATTAAATTGATTTTCTAAAGTTTTAGTGTTATCTGTTCCTGGTGGGTCTGCAGTTTTTTTGCTTGAAGACTGTACTTGATCAATTTGTCGTTGATGTTCAGCTGTACTACTTCGATAATATGATTTTATTTATCTGGGCAATGTGAGCTATTTCGATGTGGTGATTGAAAATAGTTTCTTGATCTGTTTTGATAGCTAATAATTCTAGGCCTAGTTTTCTCGGTATCTGTTGTTATAATTTTATTATTTCATCTGTTAATTAAGATATTCTCGATCGATTATTTGAGTATTATCGGTTTTGATTCTTCGAATATGATCGATTTTTATAATAGATGGACTAGTTATTCCTATTTCAATTGGATCTAGAGTAAATATTCTTATATTGATTATTCTGACTGTTTGATTATGTCTATTTTGTGACTAGTTTTGTGAACATCGTCTATATGGGGATCAACCGAGAAAATTATTTGAAAATGGCAATTAAGGTCTGCTGTTACTATAGAAAAATAGTTTTTTATGCTCGTTTTTGCTCTTTTCTAACAAAACTATGTTAAGTCACAGCAACCATAAATCTTTTTAAAACACTGCACGCACAGCAATTTCAGAAAAATTTTAGAAAGTTTTATTATAGTCTCTCATATTCGATTGTAATTGATGGAAGTGGATTTTTTTGACAAAAAAAAACAAAAACTTTTTTAATCGATTACAATTATTTTTCATTTCATTTTAGAGCTTGACAACAAAAATTTATTTCAATCACTTATTATCTTAAAGCTTCATTGTTCGGTTGGTTTTTCAGCAAAAAACGCAAGACATTTGAACCAATTTGAAACTGAGTTTTGACAGCTAATTTCAGTTTTAAATATCTGAAACAACCTAGATTTGCAAAAAAAACTTTCATGCCGAATGTAAGCTCGGTACTTGTCAATGCCGTTTGTGTTCGACAACTTTTGAGAATGATTGCTGCAGAGCTAAATTGACTGAAAAGTCTCCAGCCAAATTGTATTGCTTTTTTTTGCTTTAAGGTTTCGATTTCATTTAGGCTGAAGTTTCTCTGTCTGAAATGTAATGTCAAGGCACCGCGCGAAATATTTTGCGCGTTGATTATCTCAAATTAGCAAAAATTACAAATTTTAGAACCCCAAAACTTTGCGAAAAATGATCAAATGAATGTTCAGTGAAATATCTTCTAAAATTTGAGCTCAAGATAACAATACCTCTTGGATGACATAAAAAAACTTTGTCAAAAAATGATAGCAAAAAATCACAATTGGTCGGGAGAAAAAACCAACCTGAAAAAAAAATATTCCGCATTTTTTTCGAAAATCGGAAGAAAAACGTGTAGTAATCGATTTACCCGGAGTGGAATTAGTTAGCTTAGAACAAACAGATTGGCTGCTTTCTCAATGATTAAACTTTTGACAAAGTGTCTTTTGAAATTTGACGAACAGTTCAAGTATTAAAATTACAACAAAAAAAATCATTTCAATGGCCCTCTCTGGATGGAATCAAACTTATGCATTTCCAATTGCAACTGGAAATTTACCTTTCATGCAGCAAATGAATTTGAATTGAACTCACACAGAAATTCAAGTTAAACCCCGGGTTGACCAAAACTTCTAATCATACAATTTCCATTTATGAAAAACTTCTTGTCATACAATTCCATACAATGCCATACGTACAGAACATTGTATGAAATCTCTATGATAAAGATTTTTCCATAAATGAACATTGTATGATAGGTGTTTTTCCATAAACCAAAAATTTTGATTTTTTCTTTCAAAATTTAGTTTCTGAAAAATTTTTGGATGTGTTCGCAACCGAACACAAGTGACAAAGACCTTGGTTACTCAAAACACCAACGGTTGGACGGTCTTGCATATACAATGCATAGCAAACGACCTGAATTTGGATGTTTTTCACAACTGATGTAACAAAAGTAACGAACTTTTATTTTTTGGCAAAATTCTTTAATGATGATTATTTTAAATTTTTGAATTTTCAAGTTATCAGACATTGATCAAGGCTTACATTAACACCCCATACAAAAGAAATAGGAATTTTCAGCGTTTTTGAAAAAAAAATTTAAGTGTAAAGAAAATAAAAGCCAATTTTATCGTATCCAGGACTACGTTATGCTCACAAAATATTAAATTTTGCATGCAAAAAAAAAAATTCGAAAAATGTTTGTTTGCGTACGAAATTCGATTTGCGGTTGAAAAAAAAAACCAAAAATTTTTTGGGCCAAATTTTCAAAATTACTTGAAAAATTTTTTTTGTCGCCATCAAAAAAATGCCAGTCATACAATTACCATATATGGGAATTGTATGATAAGCATTTTTTTCAAAAAAACGAGAACCTCAGTTTTTTATCACCGGACCGTTTTATAAGAATCAAACATCCACAGAAATAAGTTTATACCAGTTTTCAACCATTTTTAGAAATTGTATGAAAATTGTATGACAAGCATTTTTCCATACACTTGATGTATGGAATTGTATGATAACCATTTTCGGTGTATGGAGGTCAACCCGGGACTGCGACACAAATTTGAGCGTATGCAAGTTTAAGATTTTTTCCTGTACAAGAATTATCGTTTCCTCAATAATTGATACATACATCATTTCGTTAGTTAACACGAAAACTTGAGTAAAAAATTATATTGTGAAAAACGGCAAACATTCGCACATTTGAGCAATTTATGTATTCAATTTAAAGTTCGTTAACAATAGACATCGTAATTACAAATTCAATACTGAAAGTTTATTCAAAAGCTGTACAAAAAGTAGAAATTAAAAACATCCGGAAGAAATTTTACAAGAAGCTTCATTATTATGAAGATAAAGGTTCACATACATGCTAAAGCGTTATCGGTCAAGTATAGTTGTGATTACTGATGAAACACGGAAATATTTTTAGACCATAGAACTTCAAGATAGCGGGATGAAAAAGTAAAAGCGCGATCAAAATTGCTAAAACTCGACTGAAACGAGTCATCATTTATCTGATTTTGCTTGACAATGGGCTCATTTTGGCTATTGGCAGGTCAAGAGTTTAACTTCAAATAATGTCATTTATATCGAGAGTTCCACTAAGCACATTTTTCTCTTGGATGTGATAGGCTAATTAAATAGGCCAATCAGATGTATCTATTGGATTGTGACGTCATTATTACAGCATAATTGCATCATCACTCCTCGTCGTCCATTGTGGAGTCCTTGAGGAGTTTGAGTCTGTAGGTGCAGACCTTGAGCAGCTCCTGGAGATCTTTGTTCTGTCTGCTTAGATTGCCAATCTGGTCGTCCTTTCCTCTCAACAGCACCTCTAGTTCCGCTTTGGCTTTCTGAAAACACAAAAATAGTTAAAATCACAAAAAAAACAGGAATCGGCAAAGAGCTGAAAAATCAAAAATTATGCTAGCCAGTCAGAATTTTAAAAAAAATAGTTAAAATCATGTCGTCACGTAGTAACAAGAATCTATCAAAAAAATTGCAGTGATCGAAAAACTTTAAATTGATCAATTTTTTCGGGTATTTGGCGTTTAGTACATGAGAATAGCCCCCGTTTGATACAACACGAAGTGATACCATGTTGAATCTGCAATTACATCATGATTTTCTATTATTCAGTTAAGAAAAAGCAATGAGTCACAGGAAGCTTTGGACTCTGCATTCAATGATATCCATCTGCAAACAACTTTGATAGCAACTTGACAATGTTTTCATCTCAAAGATAGGCAAGGTTGTCATTAAACGCTGTGTGGTTTTCAAAATACAGGTCCACGATGTGTTTGTTTTCTATTTTTTTCAAGCACAGACTAGAAGGATAAGTAGATATAAATTAAGTCAGATAAATTGATTGAATTTAACCTCATTATCTACTCCAGTTTGAATCCGCGCTGTCCGTTTTTGTTTGCTTTTTACAAATCAGGAAGTTTCTTCGGTTGACCTGACATAGTTATAATTATCTCTGATTTGAAGATATTCCAGCTCTATGGAAATTTTAGCGATGATTCAGGATCAGTGAATGAATATATTTTCCAGCGATAGTCATAGATAAGTAAGAAAAATTACATAAACAGCAAAGCTGAGCTACGCACCACTTGCAATACACAAAAAATCTCCAAATATCAAAAGATAATGTGTCTCAAGCTTGAACAATTGGAATGAATTTTGTTGAAAAACTGGTACGTTTAAAATTCAAGAAAAACTTTATTGCAAATGTTAAACAAAAAAATTTCTTAATAACAAAAGAAGAAATTGGGTTTAACCCTTATAAATTTCTTCAACTTATCCATTCTGGGCTTATCCATTTATTTCTGATATTCAATAGCAGAAAACGATAAGAAAACATATCAATCAAACAATTGAGATACAAAAAATTTCGAATGTACTCGAAAACTGTTCAATAAATCTTGCAACCATCGAGAAAAATCGGGGCTGAAAGGCCTTATCCGCTAATTACTTTAGTATAAGACCACAAAAAATAACGAAAAACAAAAATTCAAAAACATGAATCCAAAAATACACACATCTGCCACAGAAAAAAACTTGCTGAAAATCAGAAAAAAACTCCCAATTACATCAAAAATTATCAATTATGAATATGATTTGCAAAGATAAAAGAGCTTCAGGCACTTTTCGAACAAAAATATTAGAAACCATGCATCTGAAAAAAAAGTGAAATATTTTTGCGAAAAAAATCCAGCAGAAAAATCTATCAAGAAATACAGATTTGATTAAATGGCAAGTAGGCCGACAAAAATTGGGTCGAAATCAATAAAGCCGACAAAAAAAATCAACCCGCATCCAAAAAAATTTTCAGCTGTAAAATATATATCAATTCAGTCGTTGGAATCAGCTGTTAAATTACAGCTGTTAGACGTGCAAGTTGGGTAGAAATCATTTAGAGGCTACCAAAAATTTCTGTCATCCTGTGGACAAAGTTGTCTACGCGTAAATAGTATAGTAACGATTGTAATACCCTTGCTTATTACAAGGGTAAAATACATGAATTAGCGCTGAAAATTTTTTTTTCAAAACTTAAATACAGTCTGTCGTACCTCCCTTGTATATAAATTTTTATTCAATTACATTCTCATCTAACACCCCAATGTCTTTAAAAAAATCTTAATGTTCATTGAAGCATTGAAACTTTTTTGGTTTCAGTTTTCAGCTACGTTTTCTGACACTCAAATAACCAAGTTGAGTCGCATTTATTTGCTGCACGCAAAAATATAACAATTGTAATTTTGTCGGTACTGACTTTTAATAAATTGAATGATCATCAAGAACAAAATAGATTTTTCAAACATTGTTTTTTAATTCTACTTTTACATTGCTGGTTCAAATTGAGTGAACAAAACTAAAAAAAATCTAATTGGGTTAAATATGACAAAAGTGAAGAGAACAGAAACTGCTTAGAATTAATATGGTACAATTTATTTTTTAAAATTCGTAACTAAATTTTTACCTCACAAATGGAGCATTTTGGCTTTTTAGTGAATCACTAATTGCGCTAAAACTATCATTACGAAGCCAAACTGTGTATTTTGTTAATTGTAAGCCGATTGCGGATCAAGGACACTCTGTTTTTTCTTCTTTTTGGAAAGCAATATTGATTGGGAATTTCGCCAAATCAATCGGACCAAAATATTTCTACTGAAACTCTAAGCAACTTTTGTTCTCTCCACTTCTTGTCAAATCGTAAACTAATTTAAGAAAAACGCGTTGAAATTTTCCAATTAGTTCGTTTTGTCATTCAAATCAGAGCTGTACTGGGTAGCTACAGTTGTGCCTTTGAAAAGTTTATAGAAATCTTTTTTTGGCGATTGTTTATCTTTGCTGTCCTGTCCGGCCAACTTTTTTTTTACAGTTTTATGGCAAATCGTAGATCAAGATTCAAAGAAACTCTTACGCTATGAGAAAATACTATGAAATGAAACATCTGTAGACATCATGAGTTCTCGATCAAGTCTAAATTTCAATATTTCCGTGAGCTCTACTGTTTGCATCGGATATCTTAACAAAAGTGCGAGAAGATGGAAAAAACGATGTTGATTGCGCCGGTTGTGAAGTTGCATGTCGGGCCACGCTAGTTGCACCTTTTACTCCCTAATAAAGTCTGGTCGTATTATACCAAAGTGCTAAGCTTTTGACCGTATTTGTATGTTGATTCTGCTACATGGAAAGTGTTCTGCATATATTGAAGAAAAAAGTTTGAACTTCTCCTTCATTCCCATGTACGCAATTAAAATGATCGTTGCTGATTGATAATGGAAAGATAAGGAAATGACCCTGAGAACTACTGAATTTTTAGTGTTTAAATTGTCAACTGTAACTTTGAATTGGGACGGTTGTACAGCAAAGAAATTAAAACTGATTCAGCGAAAAATCAGGTGTGTCCATGCTTTTTGCTGTGGTAGTTCAGCCCTGACTTAGCGCTGATTCTGAGTCTGATACTGAAAAATCGAGTATTGCAGTGATCTTAAAAGCCAAAATTGACGCTAAATTGGCGATGATCAAGCCATACAAACCTAGCCCTAAATCTGAGTTGAAAAAATCTTGATCATGGATAGAAAGCCACTGATCGGGGAAAAGATCAGCGATGTTAGATTTTCAAAAAGTCGCTGATTCAGCGATATTTATTCTTTAAAGCTCAACCCGCGTATCTATGACACATCTAAAAAACACGCTCTTGTTTGTTTCAATCAGGAACAGACGAAGAAAACCATAGATGAAGAAAAAATGAGTTGGCGTAAGAACATGAGATATCCAAGAGTTTAAGATGGATGCAACTTACCCGCACTGGAGTTCCATGGAAAATAGTTGTTATCAGGGGCGGATCTAGGCTTTTCTCGAGGGGGGGCGGATTTTCAAAAAAATTTCGAAAATTTTGACTACTTTTTTTTTTTCTAGGTCGATCAGATTGATTTTCCGAGCTCTCCCAAAGCAATAAAAAGACCCTGTTTTGGCCAAATTTTCTGCGCCACAGGCAATTTTTTGAAAAACAGGTCAAAAAAGCCGTTTTTGGGCACTTTTTGGAAAATTTTGACAAAAAAATCTTTTTTTTTGGCGCGCGCTCCCCCTCAAAATAAGTATATATTGGCGCCGAAGGCTCCTTTAGAAAAATTTTAGGGTCGGTCGGCCAAAAATGGATTTCTTAAAAAGTACCAAAGGGGGGACCCTTTGGGTTGGCAGGGGGTCGAATCCCTGAGGGGGGGGCGTCCGCGCCCCCCCCCCCCCCGACCCCCCCCCCCCTAAATCCGCCCCTGGTTGTTATAGTCCATTATAATAGATTATAATCGGATAAAAAATGTATTGTTTGAGAAATTATGAGTTTAGCAATTTTTTTTCAAATTTATCTCATTTCATGTTTCGTGCAGTTACTACGTACTACGTTTCATAAATTTTTACTTTTCACATAAGATTTTATTTATTTAAGTTTTCTCTACTTTTTCTATGTTACGTAAACTCCATCGCCTCTTTTAACAACCCCCTTCCCCAGCTTACCCACCCCCCCCCCCCCACAGTTTGCCCCTCGGCAGTTTACCCCACGCCCCCTCCCCTCCCCCTCCTAATAAATTGTAGTAAACATGGGGATGGATGTAGGGATAAAGGTTAGTTTGAGTAGACTTAGATTGCAAGTTTAACGCAAAAAAATTGTAAGTTTTGCAAATGATTTTGCACAATAATGTAAAGATTATAATCAAGTATTTTCAATTATTATAGATTTTAAATGGAATATAATCCATTATAATGGATTTTAATGGATTGAGTTTTTAAGAAAAAAATCTATTATAATGACAATATAATCGATTTCGTGGTCTAAATTTGCCACAATAAAGGTTTATAATGACAACATTTTAAACAACAATTTTCCATTATAATCCATTATTATCCATGGAACTCCGCTGCGGGTAAAAAACAGAGGTGAGAAAGTGGCAAAAGGGAGCTTTGAAATACACAAAAACGCAAATAAGTCGCTAAAAGCACTTTTGTTTACACAAACTTGGCATGGGAAAACTTGGATTGTTATAAGCTGAAGGCAACCACACTAAATTTGCATGTAATAAATTGGAATATATAGAACAAAATAAAAACAAACAAGACTGCTCGTATCAGGGAGAAGCCCTGAAAGTTCCGACTGCCTTTTAACGTTTATGGAGCAGTAATAACATAAAAAACTTAAAAAATAAACAAAAATAAAATAAAATGAAAAACTTTTTTTCTAAAATATGAAAATTTTTCTATCAAAATCATCCCCCCACACGCCATATATAGTACAAAACAATAGATTTCGCTCCTTGTAACAATTCAATTATGGCAAATAAGCTTCGTTCAACCAATTTGGAACGATTTATAGGACGGATTAAACCTCCGCTTACGCGTTAATAGCGCGAATTATATCGCGCGTTAATTGTCCCAAACTAATCTTTAAACCCTCATAACTTTACAAAAAATGATCACAGGTGAAACATCTTTCAAATTTAAGCTCAGGACAACAATAGCTTTCGAATGATATAAGAAAATTCCGTCAAAAATGGCTGGTTAAAAAGTCGAAATTTGTCTGAAGAAAAAAAAACCCACCCCGAACACAAATATTCCGTTACTTTCGTATTGAAAGTCGGAACAATTATGCTATTCGAAAATCTTCGCGAAATACTTTGATTCAAAAAACTTGTGAAATGTATTTTTTTTTACCATTCTGCTGTTGTTTGAACAATACGCTTTTTTGATGAAACAAGACAGCATCATTTGTGTCAATTTATTAGCACATGTTTTGGAATTGCCAATGCTGCATGCTGCAAAAAAGTCACAAAAAAGCTTAATATTTTGACACTATAGCTACTTTACCTGTAGTGCGGCTATGAGATCCTCCAGTTTGGCCTGGTTGTCCTTGAGCTGTCTAATCTGGTTGTCTCTCTCCTTCCTCTGCTGGGTGGCCTCCGCCTTCACCCCATCTATCTCCCCCACCAACTTAGAGTGCTGTCTGTCTCTCTCTTGCTTTACCTGCACAATTCAAACAATTATTGATCAGAGGTTAACTTACACTCCGAAGGCTGAGGTTCGAACCCCGAACTAACTGTTTTTTTTCATTTCTTGCTCCACCTGCACAGTATAAACAAAAAAAAACAATTTCTTCAAATACCAGACTAGAAAAAATCTCAAAAAAATTAATACCAAGATCGCATTAAAAACAACCTCTCGCACATTGTGTCTTTCCAAGAATATCCACTTCCATATAGATACAAACCAACGTATTTGAAATTAAAAAAAACTAATTGCTCTATTTCACCGATTGGAGAGTTGGGAAAACATTTCACTGTAAATAATCAAATAATGTCTAAAAAAGTTCTAATTTTTTATACTTAACAATATTGACCAGTTTTAAGCACCGCTCATGTTTGAAGTGCTAGTGTAAGCATAATGAGATAATGTCGGTGTGATCTTTTGACAGCAAAGGTCCTGAAAAGGTTGCAACCACCCCCCCCCCCGCCCCCCTAAACCTCCCCTCCCCCTCTCCGCCCCGGCATTTTTGTTGTGGGGGATAGTGTACCTTGTATATCTCGTCCCTGAGCATCTTGGCCTCCTGTTCCCTGGCTTCCTGACTCCTCTTGCTCTCCTGCTGCAGTCTCTCCACCTCCCCCCTTACTCTCTCCACTGTGTAGTCCCTGTCTGCCATCACCCTCTCTACCTCCCCACCCAGTCGCTTCACCTAATGTGCGGGAACAGGGAAAAAGTTGAATAAATAGACAAAGATGAGCAGAATGTTCCGACTAGAAG